ACTGTAAAGATTTGTTCCCTCTTTTGAGCTACTGCATCCATAGGTGTAGATCAAATTCATCAGATTGTATCATGTTACTCTTTTTTTCCCTCTTCTTTCTTCTTCTGGTTGAGCTCTGCTCATCCAGTCATTGAAGCCAGGTCAAATGGGTATTATCTGCAAGTATGGGTGTTCTTTTGCATATGCCCTCTCTTCTTATCAGCTGGACGCTTCACTCTCCATTCTAGTACTCTGTGGTTATGTCACTGACTCCACAGGTCTTGCCAAACTGCTGACCAACCAGGTCTCCATCCGGGTTCACAGGAATCTATTCAGCGTTGTAGGGCTTAGCTCACAGCTTCATTACTGTTTTCCCTTACTTCCCCTTATCAGTGACGAATGTGGTCACCCAACAGAGCACATGTCTGCTTGTGTATTCCTATTGAGTTTTAGTCTTGGAAGGAGGTTTGCCCTAAGGGGACCCGACCACTTGCCTTGATGTCTCCTGGGTGAGCAACTTGTTTGTTCTTGTAGTAGTCAGTGTGACTGCCATTATTGTTTTGCATTTTTTCTGTCAGTCTTTCTTTCAAGAAGTATCTTCTGGTCTTCTAGCAACTCCAGGCTGGTCTGCTTGTCCTTTCAAGTGCAAATTTCCCACCTCAGAAGATTTTGGATGGGGTTCAGGATTCCACCTATAGTCTTAAGTAATGCAGAGGTTCCGCAGGAAGCCTCCTTCACTGGGCACGTTGTAGCCCCATTTTAGGTATTCCAATCAGTTATAGGCAGAAGATGGACTTACAAGCTTTCTACAGTGATATTGTGTCTAGTAGCGTAGTGGTTATGAATTGGGCTGCGAACCTTAAGGTCAGTGGTTCGAAACTACCAGCGGCTCCTCGGGAGAAAGATGAGGCTTTCTACCCCCGTAAAGATTTACACCCTCGGAAACCCTGTACAGGATCGCTATGGGTCAGAACCGACTCAACGGCACTTAACAACAACAACAAAATTGTGTCTAGGGTTTTTGAGGCTTTCAATCTTTGCAGGCACAAAAAGCCTCATCTTTCTCTTGCGGAGTACTTGGTAGGCTCAACCGCCAGCCTTGTGCCTTGAAAATCCTGTGGAACACAGTTCTGCTCTGCATACATGGATCACCATGAGTTGGAATCCACTTACAGCAACGAATAATAAAACTCTAAATAAATCATTAAGTTCTTTATATGAAATTCAAATCAAATGGAAGGCCAGTATTTTTGTTTCCTAAATCTGGCAATTGGGGGTGGGGGGTGGGGGGGTGTTCCTCTGTGAGGTTGGCATATTCTGAAGGAAGTAGCAGTTGACTGGGTGATGAGGGGGTGAATAGTGTCCCAGGAAGCGAGAAAGGCATGTGCAAAGGTCCTATAAAATTATTACTAGAATTATATTTGCATCCCTGCTATGTGAGTTGTCATTATGGTTATTATCTGGAATCTTACTCAACCTTCACATACTAGGTCTATCGCCCTCCCATCTCCACCCTCAACCAAATCACGCCTATCCCAGATTCCAACGCTGCCTCCGGTCCGCGTAGTTAATAAATGGAGAAACTAGGGCTACAAGGTGAACATTCTAGGCCTTAACATTGAGAATGTGGTATGGGTGGGGACAAAGAGAAGAATGAACATTCGGTGCGGGTGGGGACGTAAACCAGAGAGCTTGATGGGCGGGTAAGACGGGAAGCCAGAAAATAACACAGGCGGGGACAAGAACCAGAAAATGAGGCGGGCGGGACTAGTGGAGAACCAGAGAGCTACGCGCGCGGGGCCGTGAAGGAGAATCGAGGTTCGGCGCGGTCGGGGACGAAAAGCGCGAAGACGGCAGCAGGCGCGGGCGGGCGCGGCCTTTGTCTCCTCCTTTCTTATGCTCCGCGGCAGCGCCAGCCCCATGAGCCCACGGCTCCCCGGCCCTCCGGCCCCCTGCAGCCCCTGACCTGTTCCTTCCCTCGCCATGGCCGAGGCTGCCTCTGCCGCCGGGGCCACGTCCCTGGAGGGCGAGCGCGGCAAGAGGCCCCCACCGGAGGGTGAATCTGCAGCCCCAGGGTCCGGAGTGCTGGGTATGTGCGCGGCAGTGGGACCCCAATACGGTTGGCAGGTGCCTTGGGTACTCGCGGCCTGGGGGGGACTGACTCGGGCCTGCAGTCCGGCCGAGGGAACGGGGGCCGGCCCCTCCCGGCACTGCGGCTGCGGCCTGGCGGGTGGGGCTGGACAGTGCAGCGGGCGGGGGTCGCGGCGGCGCGGGGACCTGGACACGCCCACCCCTCCCTCCGAGAGTCAGCAGAGCTGGCAGCAGAGCCCCGCCACCCTCTGTGGTACTAGGTCTTCCTGCAGGGACGCTCTTGAGAGACCCTCCTCACACATACTGGTTTGGGGTTCGAATCCCAGCTAGGCTGTGTGACCTTGGGCAAGTGGCTTAACTGCTCTGGGCCTGTTTCCCACTGTGAAATGCGGGTGAGAGCTGTACCCAGCGCTGATACAATGTAACTCTCAGAGCTGCTAGTGAGCGCCCCATCATTGTGGTTTAGAGGCGGACCTGGGGGAAGGGCATCCTGGCAGAGGCTGGTGCAAAGGATTGGAGGGAGGAAAACAAGCTAAAGCTTTGAATGCTGGGCTGATAGTCTGGAGAGCCTTGGCGGGTGTGTGAGTGAGCAGGAGCTAGGTTCAGTCCAGAATGGCCTGACCCAGCGCCCCGCCCACCCCTCAGATAAACTTTTTGGGAAGAGACTCCTGCAGGCCGGGCGCTATTTGGTGTCCCACAAGGCATGGATGAAGACGGTACCCACGGAGAACTGCGACGTGCTGATGACTTTCCCAGGTACCCAGATGGGGTGAGTTCGGGCGAGAGTCTGTAGGCGGCCTCCGCCCCTGTGACAAGAGCCATCGGTCCCTGTGCCCCTTGCTAGACACGACCGATGACCACACGCTGCTATGGCTGCTGAACCACATCCGCGTGGGCATCCCAGAGCTCATCGTGCAAGTCCGCCACCACCGCCACACACGGGCCTACGCCTTCTTCGTCACGGCCACCTATGAAAGGCGAGTCCCTAGGGCCATGCCTCTCGCTAACCCTGCCGCCCAGTTTCCTGCATTTCTACACACCAAGCGCACTGTCCAGCTCCCCATTTGTATCCCCGCCAGGTGCACCATCCCAGCTTCGGGTTGGTGAGCCAGGACCTTTCGGTGAGCCCATCTCCATTTTCCACCCTGCAGCCTGCTCAGAGGAGCCGATGAGCTTGGGCTGAGGAAGGCTGTGAAGGCTGAGTTCGGTGGAGGCATGCGCGGCTTCTCCTGTGAAGAGGACTTCATCTACGAGAACGTGGAGAGTGAACTGCGCTTCTTCACCTCCCAGGTGCGGCTGGCTGAGTTTCAACGCTCTGTCCCCAACTCGCCTCCCCTATGCCTGTGTCCCCTACCCATGTCTTCGCACCCTACCCGGGCCTCCCACCCTGTACCAATCCCTAGCCCCTCATTCACACCCATGTCCCTCTAACAGTGTCCCTCCTTCCATGCTTGTGATCCATGTTTCCCACTTATGACCCCATTCTCCACTTATGTTCCCAGTCCACCAACCCTCCTCACCCCATTTCCCCCACACCCCCTAATCCCCCATCTGTGACCCAGTCAGTGATAGCCCTTGCCCCTCACGCTTGTGTCCCCGATCCCCTTCTTGCGTCCCCAGCCTGCAGTCCCCAGGCTCATGCTCTCTTCTCCGCAGGAGCGCCAGAGCATCATCCGCTTCTGGCTGCAGAATCTTCGTGCCAAGCAGGGCGAGGCGCTGCACAACGTGCGCTTCCTGGAGGACCAGCCAATCAGTAAGTAGGGTGGGGCCGGTCCTCCAATATCTGTGTAGCCTATCGGTGCAGGAGGGTGGGGCCCTGGAGCCTACCAGCTAGTAAGAATTGGGCTGGGCCAATTTATTGTCACAGGGGCGGGCCTTGGTGGTAAAGTGGGGCTTGTCTCTTGGGGGCGTGGCCAATGGTATATTTTCTGGGTCCGAAAGGAGGTAGGGTAGGACCAAGGACAGCGCTCCTGGGAGCAGGGCTCAGTTTTCCCTCCAGAAAACATTAGCTACTTCAAGTTCGCCTTCTAATGCTAACTTTACACCCCACCTGAGACTTCAGAAGCCCAGACTTCTGAAAATCGTCCCTCCCGGGCTCACCACTCCCTTTCCACCAGCCCTATCCCATCCCCAAGTTTTGCAGGAGAATCACGTATTCCTCCCTAGGGAAGAACCTCTGCCATTTTAAGAGTGAAGAAAACTGGGCAGGCGCACAGTGAGGGGACAGAAATGAGTGGGCAGGCAGGAATCACTGACGTTCGTGCCTCTACAGTCCCCGAGCTGGCAGCCCGCGGAATCATCCAGCAGGTGTTCCCGGTGCACGAGCAGCGCATCCTGAACCGCCTCATGAAATCGTGGGTGCAGGCCGTGTGTGAGAACCAGCCCCTCGGTGCGGCCCATGCCCAGGAGTGGGTAGGTGGGATGTCTGAGGAACTGGATGGGGCTGACTGGGGCTCTTCCCCCTGCAGATGAGATCTGCGACTATTTTGGTGTGAAGATCGCCATGTACTTCGCCTGGCTAGGATTCTACACCTCTGCGATGGTATACCCTGCTGTCTTTGGCTCGGTGCTGTACACGTTCACTGAAGCAGATCAGGTGCGCACAGGGGCGAGGCGCAAGGGCTGGGGAACTGAGACACAGTCCCTATGATCCCAATCAACTCCCAGCGACCTTCCATCTCCCCTGCAGACAAGCCGAGACGTGTCTTGTGTGGTCTTCGCTCTCTTCAACGTGGTCTGGTCCACGCTGTTTCTGGAGGAGTGGAAGCGGAGGGGGGCGGAGTTGGCCTACAAGTGGGGAACGCTGGATTCTCCTGGAGAGGCTGTGGAAGAGCCACGACCGCAGTTCAGGGTGAGTCGGGTTCTGGGCCTATGATTAATAAAGAGACCATTCAGGGTAGGTAGGGACCACTACAAGAGCTAGGGCAGAGGGAGGAAAACTGAGGTTGAGGACCGGGAGAGGGGATGGTTGGTGGGGGGCTCACGTCCCACCCACTGGCTGGTGGCCCTGTCCCACCCACTAGGGCGTCCGGCGCATCAGCCCTGTGACCAGGGCTGAGGAGTTCTACTACCCACCCTGGAAGCGACTACTCTTTCAGCTGTTTGTCAGCCTGCCGTTGTGCCTGGCCTGCCTTGCCTGTGTCTTCTTGCTCATGCTCGGCTGCTTCCAGCTGCAGGTGACCAAAAGGGTCCCTTTCCCAGCCTTTCATCACCAAGCTGACCCAGATTTCCCCAGCCCTGACCTCGAATGACCTGTGAACCCACATTCCAAACACCTGTCCTGAGGCTAGGCCTGAACCTCTTGCCCATTGCTCGCCCCCGAGCCCTGATCCCATGTGACTGTGCGCCCCTGCCCACCCTGAGTTCTGGTCACCCTGGGTGACCTGGCTCCCACTCAACTCCCATCCCAAGTCCTAATGGTGTCCTTCCTGCAGGAGCTGGTGCTGAACGTGAAGGGGCTGCCCCGCCTTGCCCGCTTCCTGCCCAAGGTTGTGCTGGCCGTGTTGGTCAGTGCTAGCGCTGAGGGCTACAAAAAGCTTGCCATCTGGCTCAATGACATGGGTACGCCTTGGGAAAGGAATCCTACCTCTATCCCCCTCACCTGGGTAGGAAAGTCCCCACCACCCCATGGGGCCCTTCCGCCCCTGACTCACTCCCTTGGCCCCCAGAGAACTATCGGCTGGAGAGCGCCTATGAGAAGCACCTCATTATCAAGGTGGTCCTGGTGAGCAGTGATCCCAAACAGGTGGGTGTGCAGGCAGTGGGGGTTAGGGAAGGCACAGGGTGACTGATGGTTCCTACAGTTCCAGTTCGTCAACTCATACCTGAGCCTCTTCTACATCGGCTTCTACCTCAAGGACATGGAACGCCTGAAAGAGGTAAGAACCAGGCCAGGTGGCAGTGGCCCCATGGGGACCTGTGGCACCAGGGAGGAGGTGTGCGGCAGCCTGGGCCCCAGACCCTTCCCCCCTTCTCCATTCTTCTCTCCTCTCTGTCCGTGCGTCCGTGCGTCCTCTCTCTACCTGTCTCTGCCCCATCTGTCCGTCCATCTGTCCGTCGGTCCCTCCACAGCTCCTGCTCATCCTGTCCTTGTCCCAGAGCCTCGAGCGGCAGCTGCGGGCAGTACTGGTCCCGCTTGTGGCCCTGCGGTTCCGCCTGCTCCTCCTCTCCCTCCGTGGCCTCCTGCTAGCGGCCTGGGCCAAAGTACGGGGCGGGCATGGAGGGAGCCAAGTGCAGGGCCTGGCCAGTGAGGCCATTTGTATCCAGGGCTCAATGGGGTGGTGGGGCAGCTGGCAGCTGGGGCTACTCAGATGCAAGGCTGTGCCTGGTGGCTTTGGTGCCTGAATATAGGGCCTCTGGACCAGGGGCGCCTAAATGGACGGGGTGGAGATAGCAGGTGGGTCTAAGTACATGTTGGGGGGTGCATGGCCCTGCCTACCCCCCATGTGGCCACTCTCACCTGCTTCCTGCCCCCAGATGCTGGCCACCCTGCTCATCACCCGCCAGTTCCTCCAGAATGTACGTGAGGTTCTGCAACCACACCTCTATCGGAGGCTGGGCCAAGGCGAACTGGGCTTTCAAGCTGTCTGGGAGCTGGTCCGGGCCCTGCTGGGCCTGCTGGGCCCCCGCTGTTCTACACCCCGCCACCTCGAATCCCAAGCTGAGGAGAGGGCTGGTGGTAGTGGTGTGGGGGGCCGCAGGTGTCTCCGCGGGGGCTGCGGGGCTCCTGAGGAAGAGGAAGACGCAACAATGGAGCGGCGGCCAGCTGGGGAAGGTGGGGAGGAGGGAGACAGACTGCAGGGGGGTCCAGAGGAGGTGGAGGAGGAGGACGAAGACGAGGACGAAGACGAGGAGGATGAGGAGGAGGGGGAGGAAGGTGGCCTCCTGGACTGTGGGTTACGACTAAAGAAAGTTAGCTTTGCTGAGCGTGGCCCTGGGCGGCGCCAGGGCCCGAGTCCTGAGGCCCTGCTGGAGGAGGGCAGCCCCACCATGGTGGAGAAGGGCCTAGAGCCCGGTGTGTTCACGCTGGCCGAGGATGACGATGAGGTCGAGGGCACCTCTGGTAGCCCCGAGCATGATCCGGCCACTGTGCTGCTACGCCGGGCTGGGGGTGAGGGCAGAGACCAGGGCCCCAATGGTGGCCTGGAACCTGAGCCGGACACAGGTGACTCAGCCCGCCGGCAGCGGCGGCAGAACCGGGCATCTTGGATCGATCCGCCCGAGGAGGAGCACTCACCCCAACTCACGCAGGCAGAGTTAGAGAGCTGCATGAAGAAATATGAGGTGAGGCAGCCAGATGAGCAATCTGAGGGTAGATATCAGGCCAGTCATAGGGCAGTCTGAGGGAGGAGGAGGGGTGGGCACATGGTCAGAGGGTGGAGGAGGACATTGCATATAGCAGATGAGGTGGGCAGAGCAGCAGGAGGGGGCAGTCTAAGGGCAGAGGCAGGATGGGGACACACACACAGACTGAGGGAAGAGGCAGGACCAGGTCACATAGTCTGAGGGCTGAGGCAGAATGGAAGCAGACAGTCTGAAGGTGCAGGCAGAAGAGGGGGCACAGAATTCGAGGGCAGAAATGGGGTCTGGGAGGAGTGGCTACATAGTCTGAGGGTAGAGGCAGGCTGGGGAAAGTGAGCATACAGTCTGAGGGTGGAGGCAACATGGGAATGGGCACACAATCTAAAGGTGGAGGCAGGACCTGGTTTGTGTGTGTGTGCGCACGCATAATATGTATGTGTATACACAGCCTGGGACAAGCAGCTCAGTCTGAGGGTGGAGATGAGCTTGTGCAATCCCAAAGCACAGTCAGAGGGAGGAGACCGGGGCTCTGTGTCCCTAGGGCAGCCAAAAGAGGTAGGCTTGAGAAAGGGGGTGTGCTACCTAACCGCAGCTCACCCACCCTCCACAGGACACATTCCAGGACTACCAGGAGATGTTTGTACAGTTCGGTTACGTTGTGCTCTTCTCCTCGGCCTTCCCACTGGCCTCACTCTGTGCCCTCATCAACAATCTCATTGAAATCCGCAGCGATGCCTTCAAGCTGTGCACAGGCCTGCAGCGGCCCTTCGGGCAGCGCGTTGAGAGCATTGGACAGTGGCAGGTGAGGAGGGAGGGTTAGAGTCCCGTCTGGAGAGAGACCTGGAAATAGCACTGCCTGAAGCCCCGTGTCCCCTACCCCCCACAGAAGGTGATGGAGGCCATGGGAGTCTTGGCCATCGTGGTCAACTGCTACCTGATCGGCCAGTGTGGGCAGCTGCAGCGCCTCTTCCCCTGGCTTGGCCCAGAGGCAGCCATAGTGTCTCTGGTAGTGCTTGAGGTGGGGCTGGCGGCCAGGCCGGGACTTGTGGAGTGGGTAGGCTGGTGTCCCCCAAGCCTGCAGCCCCTGTCTCTCTTACAACAGCACTTCGCTCTGCTACTCAAGTACCTCATCCACGTGGCCATTCCTGACATCCCAGGCTGGGTGGCCGAGGAGATGGCCAAGCTTGAGTACCAGCGCCGGGAGGCCTTCAAGGTAGGTGGGCCGGGCCAGGCTCCATTTATCCCTTTACTCAGTGGGGTTCCTCCTCTTCTTCTGCAAATGTGCCAGTCCCTCCTGGAATCCCAGAGACATGCAATGCCAGGCTAGCACAAAGTTGGTCAGCCACCAGCCATCTGCCAGCTTCGGATTTAGGGTCAGGGTCAAGGCTAATGCTTCCAGAAACCCAACCTCTTCCTCCTTTCTCAGAAAGCCTGCAGGTGGGCCAAGGACCTCATGGGACTTTCCACCACAATAGACTGTTCTGTAGTCACACTGTCCAGCTGGATGCCCTAGAGGGGTACAATTCTGTCCCAGTAACAGCTCTGCCCTATGGGACCAATGTAGGCCTAATATATGATTCTACTCACCCAGTTCCTAAGACATTCTTGCTCATGGCCAGGGACAAAGATGGAGGTCAGTAAATCTCTCCTTGGTTCTTGAAAACTCCAGTGTGGGACCCAGGATCCAGCTGGCACCCAGTAAGTGCTTAAACTTGGCTCACTTCCACTGAAAGTGTGGGCTAGCTGATCTAGATAGATCTCCTAAGTGCTCAAATCTCTCTCTCCCACTTCAGCCGAAAGCATCAATGTGGGTCTGGGAATTCAGTTGGTGTCAATAATTGTTTAAATTTCTACTACATCCAGCTCTGGTAGCGTAGTGGTTATGAATCGGGCTGTGAACCTCGAGATCAGCAGTTCGAAACTACCAGCTGTTCCACCGGAGAAAGATGAGGCTTTCTGCTTCCGTAAAGATTTATAGCCTCAGAAACCCTGTACAGGGTCGCTATGAGTCGGAACCGACTCCACAATAACATCCAGCGAAATTACCCAATGTGGGTTCGGGGAACCAGCCAGTGTCCTGGAAGGGTTTAAAGTCGACACACTTGTACTGAGCACTCCTGCGTGGCCCTCGGGCGAGGTGAACACTTTTCAGAAGCCTGTCTCCTGACAACATGCCCTCTGCCCACAGAAGCATGAGCGCCAGGCGCAGCATCACTACCAACAGCAGCAGCGGCGACGGCGGGAGGAGGAGGAAAGGCAACGGCATGCAGAGCATCATGCCAGGCGGGAGCGTGATGCCGGTGGTGGTGGCAGCGGCCGAGAGGAGGCCCGACCCGAAGGCTCTGGGCTGGACCCTGCCGCACCCGAGAAGCCTTCAGCCAAGGCCAAGGGCAGTGGGGCAGGTGGCCACGGCGCCGCCGAGCGGCCCAAGCGTCCAGGCTCGCTCCTAGCGCCCAACAATGTAATGAAACTGAAGCAGATCATCCCGCTTCAGGGCAAGTTCCTGTCTTCCGGGGCCACAGCCTCTCCGGCTGGCATGAGCACCAACCTTACCACCCGGCCAGCCGCTGCCCAGTCACCCACAGGCAGCGACACCCGCCTGCCGGCCTTCCTCAAGTTCCTCAAGTCACCCGAAACCCGGCGGGACCCAGAGCAGCGTAGCCACTCACCACCCAAAGCCTTCCACGCCGGCAAGCTCTTCCCCTTTGGTGGGGCCCGGGCCGAAGCAGGGGCCAACGGGGCGGGCGGGCAGACCCGGCCTGATGGGATCCCCGGTGGCAGTGGCAGCGGCCGGCCCCAGCGGAGTGGGCTAATGGACGAGGCCGCAGCTGAGGAGCCAGAAGCTGCCCGGCCCGAGGAGGAAAGCTCAGGTCATAAGCTTTAACTCGGGGGTGGGGATGCTGGGCCTGGCGTTGGGGCTGGGAGGTGATCAGGCCCCGGGAACAGAGGCAGCCCCAATGTGTGGTGCACGTTGGGGACCTGGGGATGTGGTATGTGGAGTCTCTTGGGACCCTCAAGAACCAGGAGCCACATGCCTGACCCTCTTTGCACCAGGGAGGGATGCCAAATCCCTGTTCAAGCACCCACCTGGGGATCCCCCCACTTCCATAAGACCCCACATTCAGCTCACTCTGGGGGGCCTAGACCTAGACCCCTTAGCCTCTATGCAAAACCTCCCCTCCACAACCTTTCCTCAGATGTAGGCTGGGGCTGCTCACCCAGGGCCGAGAGGCTGCACCCACATTGGCACCAACCAGAGGCCCCGGCCTCACTCCCCCCAAGGCCCCCCTGGCTCAGGCCATGGGAGCCTGAGAGGTGGCAGCCGCAGATGTTTGCAGGGACTTACCCAGACTCTCCTCAGTGCCCAGAGGCAGGGGTACTTCATAGACTCCCCACTTGGCCTCCCATCAGAAGCAATAAGGCCTTGACGTGCCTGTACACATGGGAGGGAGTATGGGCAGGGTCCTGGGTCCAGTGGCATGGGCGGCACCCCCCGGAACGGCCCCTCTCACCTCCGCAGGGACAGCGCTGGCCCTCGTGGGCGCCCCTGCCCTCCGTACCCGTCGCAGCCGGAGCCCTGCGCTGCCATCACCACCGCTGCTGCCGCTGCCCCGGCCCCCAACACCACCACCCACTGGCTGCTGGCAGTGGGATGGGCCGTGGGGCTGTGGGGCTGAGGGTGCCGCTACTGCTGCCCATCAGGTCCCCACCACCGCCGCGGATTGCCCGCCATGTGCCCACGTTGGTCCTCCACCTGCCCCACAGCCCCTGCCAGGGGATGCCAGCTTCTACAGTCTCCTGCCCCCACCACCACCCACCCTGGAACATCCTGAGTCTCCTGAGTCCGAGCCCAGTCCAAGCCCCCAGGCCGTGTGCTGGCCCAGTGGCTGGCACTAGCCCTCTGCCCACTTGCCCAAGCTCATATGCAATACCCATTGAGGGCTGGACGCCTGAGTTCCAGGGCCACCCTATCTGCCGTTGTCCTTTCAACCAGGAGGGGGGACGAAAGGAAACCCCCCCAAACCAACAGAAAACATACATACACAGAATAGGCAATTATTTATTTGTTTTTAATTTATTTTGTCATATTTTTGTAAAACGGCAGAAATGCAATAAAAAGTATATTTCAACAGTGCCCAGGGTCAGCGCCAAGGAGGAGTGGGGGCCCCTTCCTCACAGATGCCAGGTCCTATTCTGGCCTCTCCCTGGAACTGGGACTCAGGGCCACAAATAGAAAGTTAAGAGACCACTGCTGCCTATGAAGTGGCCCAGATTTGGGGGGGAGCAGCTGCAGGGCCACTAGGAATGGGTTCAGCCACCCAGACAAGGAGACAAGTTGCCAACACAAAAAGGCAGTTTAGGAGCCAGCGTCTGGGGACTGTGGGGGAGTGGGCTTAGTGGTCCTCTCTGGCTATGTGGGGGACAGTCTAGAAGAGGTGGCATTTCCCAGCACACCCTTTCTCTGGATCACCCTCTGAGACCTGAACAGGGAGAAGAAAGAATGTACGACAGTCAGAAGGCACCAAGCAGGTTGGGGAGGGACAGACATGGCTTCCCCTCTCCCCACCGTGTTTTCAATAACATGATCTCTGACCCCCACTGTTGTCTGCAAGAAGTAGATAGGTCCACACTCAAAGGTGAGACGGTGCAGGGCTGGGCTGAAGGGACAGGTGGGAGGAAGCAGCCCCATGGGGGGCCATGAACAGGTCACTGGAGGTGGAGTGCAGCCTGTGCGAAGGCACAGAGGTGTGGGAGCACAAAGGTGAGAGGGGGCTGGAGAGGCAGAGAGATGGGCAGAGGCTGGCACAAGGCTCCCTGGGGGGGGGGAGGGGGGAGCAGAAGGGAGCCACGGATGGTTAGGTGAGTAGTAGGGGTAGGTTCAGATGCCAGGGTAAGGGTGGGTCTCATCAGCCCAGAAACAGCTGAGCTGTGGACAAGTGGCAGGCAGCAGACTAGCAGATGTGGGGCTGGTGGGGCAGCTGAAAGGACACAGTGCCCTCTCCTCTGCCCATTTTCTCAAACGTGAACCAGCAGCACGGCCACATGCCTGCTGGGGTTGAACTGACTTGGGAGTAGGGCCACCAATCTGAGTGTCTCCAGTGAGCTGAAACCCCCTTAGCTGACAATAGCCAGGTTTGTCTTCCCTGGGAAGACATGAGCCAGCTCAGCCTTGAGGAACCTAGGACCACCCCCTTCCCCAGGGACTGGCAGTGATAACCGAGCTGGGGATCCTCTCCACTGCCCCCAGCACTTGGCTCCCACACTGTGGTCTCTGGTGAGCACAAGTGGAGCTACCCCCAGCATTGCAAATGCCCCCACACCCCACCATGAGCACCACTGACCATGTCTATTACAAGTGGCTGCACAGAGCCGGACTTCTCTCTGACCCAGGGCACAGGGCACAGATACCATCTGCAGTAGTCACACCATGCAAGGCTGACAGGGTTCTGAGACCCCATGCCTCACAGGGGTGGTCATCTCCAATACCACCCTGCTCGGCAGCATCCTGGGAATAGTATCCAACCATAACTTTGTCCTCAGATGGATGGTTTCCAAGGTGACGGGTCCACAGGGACACCTGGGCAGGTGAGGTAGAGGAGCAGGTCCAACAAGTCTTGGCTCTCAGTAAGGCAGCCACAGTGGGACCACGAGAGTCCAGCTGGTCCCGGCCACTAGTGAGGGTGCCCTCTCAGCTCCTCCTGGTGGCGATCAGATGCCTCGCAGACACCCAATGTTGGACAGAAAGATCCTTTTATTGGGGTAGACACTGAGCACGCACTAGTCCATGATAAAATGACTGAAGGTTCCAGAAGGGCCTCCTTTGTCCCTCACATAGGCTCAGAGTGAGGGTGGATCTGGGCCCAGAAGAGTTTCCGGTGGAACACTAGACCAGTCGAGTCTTAAAGGCCCGGGCTAGCGACTGGGCAGGTGGGGGGAGAAGGCTGCTTTGCTGTCCCTGCAAATCAGAGGCTGGGACTCCTGGCCCCCACCCTCGTGGCCACACTTTCATTTGTGAGAAGAGTTGGGGAGCAGAGGGAGGGGGGCTTGGTAGGGGAAAATAACAATGGTTTGTTTTTAAAAAAGCATCTACCGACATCACGCTACGGGGTCTGACGTCCGCTTTAACCATCGCTGGGTACACTTTACAGCATAAATAAAAACTTGAGGAAAATAAATACATCAGCTCCTAGGAGGGTGGACGCAGTGTGGATGGCGCGTGTGGGTAGGACAGGCAGGGTGGGGCGGGCACGGACACACGGCGCACAGCAGACACGACAGGAGGTGCAGTGAGGGCAATGCGAGTCTTAAGTGTCCTCGTGCATGTCCTGGCTGTCGGTCCGTGCGATCTTGCGAGGGGGAGCTGAGCTCTCGCCCTCCAGGTCCACTTGCTCCTGGTCTCGCTTCTTGGCAGCGTTCTGGGGGGTAGGGAGGAGGGGCAATGAGCCAGACCTGCCCCCAAACTCCTGCCCAGAGCCCAGGCCCCAGCCCATGAGCAGATGAGCAAACAGGCACTGTTGGACACTGGGGACTCAGCTGGGATGGTGGGGCCAGGCAGTAAGCAGGGCCACGTGTGACCTGCTCCTGGATGGGCAGCCACGAACTATCCTCCAGGACCCAACAGTCCCCCCCAGCTCCCTAGGGCTGACAATGTGCAGATGTCACACAAGTTCCCCAGGGTCCACCCGCTCCCATCGAGGTCAGGTGATGTCTGGTGGCCAAGGTATCTCTGTCACGGGGTCACTGAAAACCTCACCTGGACATCACCAGCCCACACGCACCCTTAAGTTGCCAAAGAAGCTAACCACGTGGCAGAAAAATGTAGAATTCCAGTTAAAAAAGGAAACTCCCTGGCCTCAGAAGGCCAGTCCTATGGCGGGAAGGGACACCAGAGGTCCCACAGAGGGGAGACTTGTCACTGCAACTATACCCCTTGTGTTGACTGATGCTGTCATTGTGCTCCCTGTGGGCCTCCAGCCCGGTCACTCAACACACCTAGCCCCATCCTTCTCCAAGCCTCGGCAGCTCAGCACAGCTCTTCCCTCTGGATGTTCCTCCCATTCCCTGGGCATCTGTCAAACTCTTACTCTCCCCTCAAAACCCCAATCAAGCACTTGTTCCTCCCAGTCCTCACACCTGGCCCGCTCAGCCTCACCTTTTTGTCCCATTGCTGATGTAGGTAGCGCAAGAGGATATTTGTCTTTTCTGTCACGATGACTAAGGAGGAAAGACAGAAGTCACAGGAGAGATGGCGAGGGAGCAGCTGAAGTGTCCCCACTCCACCCCTGCTAGTACCAGCCCTTCCAGAATGGGAGCTCAGCAAGCGGGGGGATGCACCACTCTTAGCTAGCAGGGACCCCACCCCTAGATGGCTACACCCCCCACTCAGAATTGCCACCACAAGAGATCTGAACCAGCTGTCCTATAGCCCAGGGTCTCAGCCTTGGGTGAGGCAGCAGGGACTCTTAGGCCCCATGCATTCATCTATAGGGCTGTTCAGCCCAGAGGGTCACAGGGATTCAAAAAGTTTAAAACAAACTGCCCTCTCCACATGGCAGCTATGTCCCCTGACTGGTCACCATGGCCATCTTCCACTCCCGTCTTGGGACAGCACCACTCTCCCCAATGGGGACTCTCACTCTGAGGGACCCTGTCCCTGAGCTTGCACAGTGGGGGGAGAAAGGGCTGGGGAGGGCCGAGCACTGCACATGCCACCTGGAGGGTCCCAGCAAGTCATGTGTCCTCAAGGGCGGGAGCAGACCAAGTCTACGACACACATATTAGCCAGTGCCCCTCCCTCACAGTGGCTCTTTAGTCCCACCAGGCCCCCAGAGGCAGTCATTCCTCTGTCACCCCAGGACAATGACCTGGGAAGGGGTTTGAGGACCCCCACGCTCCCGTGCCAATGCAGCCTCTGGGCACCACTCTTGGATAGCCAGGCGAAAACAGAGGGACCGACAGAGAGGCCTACTTACTTTGTTCAGATGGGTACTCCCTCGTGGGCAGGTAGACTGAGGGACGTCGGTTCTGGGGGAGGACAGGAAAAGATCAGTTACGAGTTTGGTGGATCTGGCTCCCCACACCCTTCACACAGGGTAGGTAACACAGCAGGAAGTCAGACGAGGCTGGGCTTGCAGAGCTGCCTCCATTTCAAACACGATCCTGCTCAGGACGTGCATGTCCCCACTAAGCTTGTGGCCCCTCAACCCCTGCAACCCTCAGACACATACTCACCGAAGCTTTGCACACGGAGTCAGCATGGAATCGGCTAAAATTGCTTTTGTTGTAGACGGGCAATCCTTTCAGAAAATCGGCCTAAAATAATGGGGAAGGGCATGTGAGAAGCCAGGCTAGCAACTGGACCTTAGTCTCCTTTTCTCTCTTGCTTGAACCCTCCAGAAGACTCGCTGGAGCCTAATATCCAATACAGACATGACATGACTTAAAAGCCAACCAATGTGGTAAGTGCTTCACCAGTCTGCTACCATGAGAAAGGCAAGGATACTGGGGCTCAGAGAGGGTGGGCCACTTTCTTACAAGTCACACAGCGAGGTATCAGCAAGACGAAGACTTAGGCCCAGGTCAGTCACACAAGCTCCTGGACCCCGGGGCAGCAGGACTGTCAATGAGAGGCCCCTGGCTATCCTCAGCACAGGCACAAGGAACACAAGGCTGTCTTTGTTCAAGTTTCTGTGCATCCATCTTCCATAAAGATGGGATGAAGAAAGACTTGTCAGTTCTGAGAGAAGGAATCCCTGGTTGTACAAACTGTTACAAACTGGACTACCAGCCAAACAGTTGTCAGTTTGCCTCAACCAGAGAAGGACCCTAGCTTGAAGAGGCCTCATTCTGGGTGGAGGCGAGTGTCTGCCTCTCACAGAGCCCCAGCTACCAAGTGGGAAGAATCTAGGCCACCTCTAAGAAACGGAGGCAGGCAAGCTGGGGTCTGGATCTTCAGAGGGGCAGAGCTGAAGAGCTAAGGGCTGAAGGTCAGCTTGGGGAAGGCTGTGTCTCTGTGGGGTTCTCTGACTTCCTGCCATGGGGACTTCCTAAATACCTCATCAAATAAGGTCTTAACCTGACAAGGTAAGTGTTGGTCTCACTCATCACACATACAGGGAATCTGAGGCAAAGTGGTTACATGCCACATGTCCAAGATTCCCAGCTTTGAAGCCAGGCTGCTCCCACTGTGTGACCTGCCAGCACCTCAGTTTCCCTGCCTGCAAACCAAGGAAGGGCTGCAGAGCCCCGAAGGCTGTGTCATCACTCTAGGATTCAGACATAGGAGGGACCAGCACCCTTGGGGGTAGATCTCAAAGCCAAAGTCCAGAGACGGCCTGGGGAGAAATGCTATTGGGGGGGGGGGGAAGCATGCAGACTGGAGCAGCGATGTCCTGCCTCCATGATGTGCAGCCAGGGATGTCATGGCTGGAGTGCGGACAGTCCCTGCTATACACACAGCTCACACCTGCGCTACCTGCTACTCAAGGCCACCCCAGGTCCCTTAAACATACCTCTCCATCTCAGGAGCTCAACCCCAGCTTGGCCCGACTTCACCCAATTAACCCATTTTCTCAGGTCCCACCTATGGGGCAGGGCACTGGGGGAGCCACCACAGACCTGCTCCTGGCTTCATGTGAGCCAGAGAACCACACAGGTGAGTGAGTGTAAGCAGCCTGACAGAAGGGGTGCAGGTAAGGGGACCCAGTCTGAGGGCATACAAGTAGAGACCTAAAGGATGGATCCCTGTCCTAGTCCCGCCTACTCTGACCCCTCCACAGCCCCCAGGGTCCTAGATACCCAATCTTGCCCCTGCTGGCCTCCAACCACAACACCAGCATCCTGACACCTCCAGGAAAGTCCCTTTCTCTAATTAGGGAACCATCCCTTAACCCCAGCTCAAAGTGGTTCAAAGCCTGTCCGTTACTGCTTCCCCACCTGTTCAGAACCTCAGCCACAGTGGCTCACACCCCAGTGTGATTACCTCTGGACATGTCCCCTCCCTCTCTGACACCTCCTGGAGCCCACAGCCCCACTCAGCTCCAGCTCTCAGCCTTCATGAAACAGGGCCCACTTCCCAAGACACAATCTATGGACAGAAGTGGCACAGCCTGTGTGTATAGGGCACGGGCTGGCAAGAATGGAGTAGGGGACAAGGTAAGCTGGAGAACAAGGCCTGAGACAAGGGAACGTCTTCACTGCAGCTGGTCAACATTTCCTCAACAAATCCCAGGAACATCTGGCTTGGTCAACCAATTCATGCCACATGGGTCACCCATTGTTGACCAAGCCAGACTCAGTGGGCCAGGAGAGGAAAGGCATAGGTGGCCTCAGTCCAGACGGGTCTCCAGGGAGGGTGCATCCCAGGAAGGAGGAGCAGCAGGGAAAGGGTCTGGGATGGCAAGGGCTTGGAAGGTGGATACAGAGGTGTTCAGGTCACACAAAGGGCGTGCGTGGCTAGACCACACAAGGCCTGGTGCACCCCGTGGGGAGCTGGGGTTTCATCCAGGTTACAACCTGAAGTTCCAGAAAGTGGTATAATGTCTTTAAAAGCTCCCTCTAGTCCCCAGGTAAATTATGCACGGCCAGGCATGGTGTTGTGGGTTAATGCACTGGACTGCAAAGTTGGTTTGAACTGCAAGGTTGGCATTTCAAGCTTACCAGCCAATCCTCAGAAACCCTACACAGGGTTGCTCTGAGTCTGAACTGACTGGAAAGCACTTAACAGTTACCAACGCAGGAGGGAGCCAGCAGTCCCTGGATGACTCAAATGGTTCATTACTTGCCTATTAGCTGAAAGGCTGGCAGTCTGAAACCATCCAGCGGAAGAAAAGCCTGGTGATCTACTTCCAAAAGGCCACAGCCTAGGAAACCTAGGGGGCACGGCTCTACTGTACACACGGTCATGGGCGCCAAAATGGATCAAAAGCAACCAACTAATATGAATGGGGCTGAGGAGGGGGCAGGCAGGCAGCCAGGTGGGAGGTGGCTCTGCTGGACCAGGGAGGAGGTAGAGGTATGCTGGTGATGAAGCCAACGGAAGCCTCTTGTGGACTGGGCGTGGAGTACGCGGTGACAGAGAGGCCCATGCTTGTTCCACCCATCTTCCTGGCCTGCCACGCACCACGCGAAGGGATGCAGGCCCGACTCTGGGTTAGGGGGTAACTAGGCTTTGTTGAGCCCTGGGTCACCTCCCCCATTCCCCCAGCCATGGGGATGCTCTACAGTGCCAGATGGGGGTGGGGAGGGGAGGCTTCAGCACAACTCTGGGGTCAGGTCACCACCATCGCCCTTCAGAGGTGGGAAACTTGAACCTCAAAACAGCCCCCAGACCCAAGCTGAAGGGCGCTCTGGTGGCAGACAGGATTTAGACCTCCAACGACCAGGCAGCCCTCTTCTCATCCCTACTATCGACAGCGGGGAGGAGTCCCTAAATCATGACAATGCAATGGGGTCTGGAACATGGTGGGGCAGGTGAACCCTGAACGGTGGGGGTGGGGTCCAGCCCTGGGGGACTGAAGCGGTCGGCGATGTCGCACTTCCTTTGGTGACAAAGCCCTGCCATGTCCCGAGGCCAAACCTCTCCCCCTCCGCGACCACCAGGCCGGTCCCACCCCGACCCTCCTGAACTAGAGATGTCCCGGCGGGCAGGCAGAAAACAAGGCCTGAGATAGGGGATTCAGTGAACCCCATCCCCATCGCGGGCGACTTCCGGAGGGGAGGGCGACCCGGAAATGAATGAGTTGTCAGGGCCTGAAACCTACAAGGGGTAAGGGGTTTGGGAGGGAGCTGGCGAAGGGTCAACAGGAAGCGTGTGGAAGGGCCTGGCAGTCGAAGGTTAAAGGTGAGTGGGAAGGGAGGGGCCGGCCCGAGGGGAAAGAGCCTGAGGGGGCTGGACAGGGCAGTGAGGGGCCTCGGGGGTTACGGGGGGGGTCGGCTCGAGTCGCCATTTTGTCGGGCGAAGGAGGGGTACAGGCCTGGCGCCCACACTCACCATCTTCTGTTGCCACCGTCCCCGCCGTCGCCGCCGCCGTCTCCTCAGCCGCCGCCGTCGCCGCCACCACTGCCGCCTTCTCAGCCACTGCCGCCGCACAGTAACTTCCAGCCACGGCACAGCCCACTCTGATGGCGCCGCCAGCTCCCGTCATTGGTCCATTCTCTAACCCCACCCCCACAATTTGGAGCCTATGCGCATTCCCATTGGTCGGATTCGACAAGGTCAGCTTTCATTGGCTGTAACGCCTCTTCCTTAGCATCAAGTTCGGTTGAGAACACAAAACCCCGCCTGGGACTTGGAAGGGAGGGAAGATCCGGAAGTGGGCAGGGCACGCCGCGAAGCCTTTTGGGAATTGTAGTCCCAGAAGTTTGCAGGTAACTTAAGAAATCGTTTCCAAAGGCGTCTCATTGGCTTTTCACAGCAGCTCCGGAAAACTGGGATCCTTCTGGTAGCATAGTGGTTACGAATCGGGCTGCGAACTGCGAACCGCAAGGCCAGCAGTCCGAAACTACCAGCTGCTCCATGGGAGAAAGATGAGGCTTTCTGCTCTGGTAAAGATTTACAGCCTTGGGAACCCTGTTCAGGGTCCCTATGGGTCGAAACCGACTCAATGGCACTTAACAATAACAACAACCCTTCCAGAGGGCCCCTCTAGATGAGTCCTAAAGAAGCTTTGGTAGCGTAGTGGTTACGAATCGGGATGCAAACCTTAAGGTCAGCAGTTCGAAACTACCAGCTGTTCCATGGGAACAGCTCTGCTGTTCTGCTCCCGTCAAGATTTACAGCCTTGGAAACCCTATACAGGGTCGCTATGGGTCGGAACCGACTCGACGGTAATTAACAACAACAACAAGAGGAGTGAGTCCTAAAGGCGTAGTGGTTACGAATCGGGTTGTGTGCCTCTAAGGTCAGCAGTTCGAAACTACCAGCTGTTCCGTGGGAGAAAGATGAGGCTTTCTGCTCCCGTTAAAGATTTGCAGCCTCGGAAACCCTGTGCAGGGTCAGTATGAGTCGGAACCGACTCCACGGTACTTAACAACAGAGGAGGCCTTGTGTGGCACTGTGGGTTAATGCGCTGGACTGCAAAGTCGTTTAAACCACAAAGTCTGTGGTTCAAGCTTACCAGCCGCTCCTCAGAAACCCTACAGAGTCCACTGAGTCGGAACCGACTCGACAGCTCCTGGTGTAGCTCTGTAGGATAAGCAATGGACTGAAAGATTGGTCCACCACCACTCCCCGTAAAAAGAAAAAAAGGCCATCTGGATGTGGCGCTGTAGGTTAAGGCGCCAGACTGCAAAGTTGAAGATTCAAGCTCACCAGCTGTACCTCGGAAACCCTATACAGGGTCGCTATGGGTCCGAACCGACTCGACTACACTTCACAGCACAGCAGCAGCTACCATAAAGCTTTATAGTCTTGGAAATTCCATGGAGCGGTTCTACACCATCCTAATAGGGTGAACAGGAACGGAATCAACTGGAAGTGAGTGGAGGTTTAGACTTTTGCTCAAACACTTCCCATGGTTCCCTAGTCCCTTGAGTATTCACTTGAATCTCAAATTCTGGGCCTCACTCGTCAAGTGTCCCCGTACAATCCCTCCTCCAATAAGCCTCCCCTTACTGCGTTTATTCCAAGGTCAAATCAGACTTCTTGGACTCCCTCTTCCCAGAGCGCCCACAAAGCCTTGACACCATCCCACCCCCCTCACCCCCCCCAATATTTCAAAGCTGTCTGGGTAGGAGGCATCCACTCTCCCACTAGACTGATAGCCCTGTGAAAGCAGGAAGCACCTAGGTTGTTATTAAGTGGGCACTACGGGTCAGAACTGACTCGATGGCACTTCACAACCACCATTCGTAGTATTGCTCCAACCACAAAATAGACAAGGAAAGAGCATCGCCTTTTATAGAAGTCAAATGAGTATCAGAGAGCAATGGCCTCGTTCAAGGCCTCACATCCCATCCTCGAGGGCACACAGTGAACCCCGCACATCACCATATTCCTCCCTTCCCAGACCTTGAAGTTATAACAGTTTCATATATCAAACAAATGGAAATTTAAACATTAGATGACATTAAGTAACTATTGCTCACTTTTTCAAAGTATGGTAAGAGTTGGGATTAAGAGACTTTAAGGGATACATTTTGAATTCTTCACAGAGCTGAGATCTGTATGAAATTAACATAGAAGGGATTAGGAAGTGGACTGTGGTACATGTTCCAAGTTCTTCCTGATTGAAAATACATAAAGGGATTTGACAAGGTCTGACTCTGCTCCACTTCCAGTCTTGGCCTAAATCTTCTGTTGGGTCAATCCCCAATTTGGAGAGTATTCATGCCCTAGTCTGTCCGTTCTCGCAAAAAACAAAGCAGAAGACGAGGTTCCGTAGGAGGAAACGTTTGAATGGAGGTCTCTCGGGCCGCAAGGCGCTCTTCAATGGCTCAGCGACTTCCGACCCTTGTGCATGCGGCGAAGGATAACCTGGATGCCGGCTGCCGTGCTCAGGCGTCGGATCCAACCGTGCGTGTGTTTGCGCTTGATGTTGCTCGGCTGATACTCATTCCCGCGCGTCTTACCCCGTGCGGGCTGCGGAGTGGGGAGGCCCCAAGCATCCGGGAGTCCCAGCCAGGTATGAGGCTGGAGCCACCTAGCAGAGAAACGGGGGGAAAGGTCAAGGGGTTTTCGGGTCACGTGGAAGTAAACAGTAGGCGTTAGTCCCTGATACAATTCTCACTCCCAGATTTGGAGAACGGTCTCTCTGAAGACTCACCTGCCCCCCAACAAGGCTACTGACCTACTGGCGAGCCTCCACGGGCGACCTAAAGACCCGGCCATAGAAGCCATGTTTAGACACGTCGTGTCGAACGCCAGAGATTCCACCACTACGAAATAAAGGCTTCTGGGACGTATTCCTCCTACAGCAAGGCCGGCGTTAGCGCCAGCGCCTCTGGGAGTTGTAGTTTCACACTTGCCCACATGCGTGAGCTTCCGTGCCGCAAAGGGAATGTAATTCTTTCTGGGGACCAGCAGATGGCGGCGAAGGCGAATGGCTGTTCTTTGGTATGCGCAGTATGTCCCACGGCGTGCTGGGAGTTGTAGTTCCTTATGTTGACCAGCAGAGGGTGCCCCGGGGTAGCCGTGGCGCAGCTGGTGGCAGCCGCTGGAAACTGCTGGTATATCCCCGCCTCAGCCCCAGCAGCATCCGGGCAGATGGCACACAACTGGCTGGCAGCTTTTCTCTGACCCCTGCCAAGTCTCCGCTCCTTGGCGGAAAGCCCAGGAGGCCTGAGTTCACGCTGGCTAAATGTCCTTGGGGTGGTCTGCCATCCTCTGTGGCCTCTTGGGTTCCAAACTTGGCCTTGCCAGTCTTGCCCTGATTCAGGCCTAGATGAGTTTTTCTAATGCACAGATGTGAACTCCTCCCATGGTCACACAGCTTCAATGGCTTCCCATGGAAAATGTCCACCTCCTATAGATGGCATGTCAGGCCCTCTACACATACACACACAGCCGTCTCATCCACACCACACCACACCCTCCTCTCTGCCTGGTATCTTTTTATTCATCCTTTAAACTCGTTCTCAGATGTCCCCCTCTGGATCCTGGCCTTCTCTGGTTCAACCCTGACTCTACAGGGCTGGGAGTGTTTTTCCCCCCATCACTCACTACAGTCCAGGGGCCCTTCAGAGTACCAGCCTAGAACTGAGTCCCTGTGGACGCCCTAGCATCTAGCAGCGTAGCAGCTTCAGTAGGAGTGTTTGGAGGATTGTTTGCTGAATGAACAAATGTGTACATAGTTTCCCAATAGCACCCTGTGTGGCACAAGTGGGTGGCTGGGCCTAATCCAGCTCTGGCAGCAAATTCCTGGAGCAGAGTGGGCCAGGAGCAAGGAAATAGTTAACCCTTTATTGACGGAATTCCTTGCCACCTGCACTGCCACTTAGCAAACAAGCAACCAAGCCATAATAATACCAATTTATTGAAAGCATATAGGCAAGAGCCTTCAACCTTTATAGCATTAATTTCACAAAGAGAAGAAGTGACTTCTTCAAGGCCACACTTTCAGCAGAATGCTGGATTCTCTGAACCTAGCCTGGACCAGAGAGCTGGGGGGTGTCGACCTCTGGCCACTGCCCTTCAGAGTTTCATCAAAGAGACGCAGTTACAGCTCTAAGACTTCTGTTTTAAGTTTATTGTTGTTGTTAGGTGCCATTGAGTCCGTTCCGATTCGATGCACAACAAAACAAAACACTGCCCAGTCCTGCACCAACCTCACAAATGTTGTTACACTGAGTCTACTGCTGCCACTGTGCCAAGCCGTCTCATCCGGCGTCTTCCTCTTTTTCGCTGACTCTCGACACACTTTATGTAAAGCATGATGTTCTTCTCCAGGTTTAGGCTTGTTGTTGTTGTCAAGTGCCATCCAGTCGGTTCTGACTCAAAGCAACCCCGTATAGGGTTTCTGAAGAGCGGTTGGTGAGTTTCCGTCCAAATTGATCTTGTGGTCGAGTGTTTATCCTACAGTGGCATAATAACAATTATCAGGCGTTGGTATCGTATAGCCTTGCGTTCAAGTCCCAGCCCTGCCCCGCCCCCTGCTTGCCTTGGGACCTTGGGCAACTGACCTGCCCTTTATGAACTTCAGATTCCCCAACCTGAAATTGCAAAGATCTAGGAATCTGTTTACAGAAGCACAGAGAGAGTCTAAGAGTAAGGGGACTACGTTTGGCGGCGGCACGGCAATTTGGAGGGACCGGGCAGGGAGACCCCATGTGAAGGAAGAACACCCCTGCCATCCCCTCCAAGGAGCCTCCAAAACCGCAGGTTGCTATACCTCTTTCGGCCCTGAGCCAGGCGGGATCCAGCTCCCCAACCTCCGCGAGCCCCTGAAAGGGGTGTGGTCTCTGCTCCTAGGGCCCGCCTCCGTCTTAGTTTCGCCACCTCTGGTTGGCTAGTTAACTAGGCCAAGTCAGCTCACAGTTGCGATTGGCCTAGGAACCCGCCCGTCCGCGCACGGCTCTGCCCACCCAGGCAGGGACTTAAAGGGCCGATTTGCTTAGTGACTGTGGGATGCCCCTGCGCTGACCGCCGGGGCCCGCGCCAGCCTCTGCTACCCGCATAGACTCACCAGACCTGAACCCCGCGCCACCATGTAAACGGCGCCTGCTGGTGGACGCTGGCTTTTCGACCCGAGACCCCTCCGCCCCGCCTCGGGTCTCGGGGCCCTCGATGAGGTGAGCGGGGAGAGGGCCCGGGCGGGGGACCTCGAGGCCCGTGACCGAGGTGGGGGTGTCCTTCCTGCCCGGGCTCCTAGAAAGCCGTATATCCCCAGCGGCCCCCTCCCCGCAAGGCTGACAGGCGCCGGAGGGCAGGGAGGTAGCGCGGCGCATCTACGCTCCGCTCCGCAATCCGGGTGGGGGCCTTCCCAGGGTGGGGGCGCTGCTGACTCCCCTCCATCAGGGAGCCCCTGCCCCTAAGGCCGGGCCTTGGGCGAGCATACCCCCTGCAGCACCCAGGCTGGGGTCAAGGCTTCATCTCAAAGCCTCCAGGCCCTAAATTATGGGGGGTGCTGTGTGAGGCTCCCCTCGTGTTATGTAACCACCTACGGTTGCCATGGACACGGGGGGGGGGGGAGGGTGGCCCAGGAGTGGGATGAAAGCCCCTAGAGGGATGGAGGCGACTCCATTCTCATCTCCACTATTGGGGCTTGCCCTTGTCAATCCCAGAACTCAAGGTGCAGAAAGCAGCTTCCTTCTAACTACCTCTGGGCCTCAACTTGCCCATCTGTGAAACAGGCCCAGTTCACCCATCTTGGGCAAAAGTAGGAATTCAGGGAAGCTAGGGTTCTCCAGCTCTGTTCTGCCAATAGGAGTGTAATTTTTATTAGAATGTTTTTGTTAAGTGCCTTCAAGTCGGTTCTGACTCATAGGGACCCTGTATAGGGTTTCCAAGGAGCAACTGATGGTTGGCAGTTCAAACCGACCTTGTAGTCAAGTATTTATCCTACAGCACCACACTCTACTCTCAATGAGGAGCTGAGCTGGACCTTTTGGAGCTCAGACCAGAACCTCCTCCCCCCCGGTAGTCACCTTCCTTGGACCAGGTGCCTAGGCAGAAGTCTGGGGTAGGGCTCAACAGGGATCTGCACCTTTGAAGATGTCTTCCCAGGCCCTCAAGATATGTTGGTTTAACCATAATAGATGGATTCTGATACAACAGGGGAGAGAAATATCAAACAGCTATCAAATTCTTAAAAGTACAGATTTTCTGAATCAATTAAACTGGATGAATCCCGAAGACTCTCATCCAGGGATGCTCTTTAAACCCTGAACCAAAATTGTCCCTTGAGGTCACCTTTTAACTAAAACAACAGAGTACCTCATAAAATAAAGACAGTTATAAGTTCCTTTTCAAAAAGAAAAGAAAAAAAAATTATCTATAGGAAACCAAATAGTTAAAAATTACTCTAAAGCAAAGTTGAGAAGGTAAAGAAACTAGAGTACTGGGAAAAAAATAGAGCCAGAACTGGATGAATGGAAATGATGACACATTGTAAGAATGTAACCAAAATCTGTGAATTCCTTGTCTTTGAAATCACTAAATGGGAACATAATTTACTATGTAAACTTTTGCCTTAAACACAATATTAAAAGGAAAAGAAAGGCTGGTTTAGTGACCATAGAAGAGTGCATGAGTGAATGGGTAAAGGAATGAATGGATTTAGGCAGCCATGCTGCTGCACTTGACATTGGTGGTGGTGGTTCTGTGCAGTGGAGTCAGTTCTGATTCATAGTGACCCTGTATAGGGTTTCTAAGGCTGCAAAAACTCTTTACAGGAGCAGAAAGCCTCATCTTTCTCCTGTGGAACAGCTGGTCGTTTTGAACTACTGACCTTGGGGTCAGCAACCTGATTTATAACCACTATACTACTAAAGGTTATTGCTGTCAAGCTGATTCTGAATCTTGATGACCCATGTATGCAGAGTACAGTGATTACATAGGGTTTTCAAGGCTGTGACTTTTTAGAAGCAGATCATCAGAACTGTCTTCAAACGTGTTTCTGGTTGGGTTGGAACAAGTAACCTCTCAACACTTTACCTCTCATGCTTCCCAGGAATTCCTTTAGGTAGCCATAACTGCTGTAAACTTGAGTCAAATTTGTCACAATGCCCCCCCCCCCCATCTAGATAGCCCCACCTCCTGCTCTCCCCCAATTTCCCTACCTTCCCTGTAGATGCCTCTTAGAGGTATCCAGGCTGCCCTGGGAGGGTGGCCAGCCACCAAGCTGGTATACTGCCCAGAGAAAGCCTCTTTCTGGTACTTTGGCTGGTTCCAGCCCTCCCTAAACTGGGACTTCTTAGAAGGAGCTCCACCCCGAAAGGCTCCCCAGTCCAGGTGCTAGGAGTGGATATTGCACAGGTATAGGGCTCCTCCCATTTGGATGACTCCTGAGCTGGAACTGTCCCCTCACAGGACGCACCATGTTGACCGGGGTGACCGATGGGATCTTCTGCTGCCTGCTGGGTGCACCACCCAACACGGTGGGACCCCTGGAGAGTGTGGAGTCCAGCGATGGCTACACTTTTGTGGAGGTCAAGCCAGGCCGTGTCCTGCGGGTGAAACACGCTGGGCCTACTCCGACCCCAAACCCACCACCACCACCACCACTCCCCGACGATGCTCAGGGGGACCGCTCCGGCCTGGTCCGCTGCCAGCGCCGAATCACTGTGTACCGCAACGGGCGGTTATTGGTGGAAAACCTGGGCCGAGAGCCACGAGCCGACCTGCATTGGCAAAATGGCTCTGGAGAGCCTCCAGCCGCCCTGGAGGTGGAATTGGCAGAGCCAGCAGGCAGTGAGAGCCGTTCAGGTCCCGGCAGTGCGGGCAGCAGCGGGCGTCGGCGGCGTGCCCGGCGCCCCAAGCGGACCATCCACATTGACTGTGAGAAGCGCATCACCAGCTGCAAGGGTGCCCAGGCTGATGTGGTGCTCTTTTTCATCCACGGAGTCGGTGGCTCCCTGGCCATCTGGAAGGAACAGCTGGACTTTTTTGTGCGCCTGGGCTATGAGGTGGTAGCTCCAGACCTGGCAGGCCACGGGGCCAGCTCAGCACCCCAGGTGGCTGCGGCCTATACCTTCTACGCCCTGGCTGAGGACATGCGAGCTATCTTCAAGCGCTATGCCAAGAAACGCAACATACTCATCGGGCATTCATACGGGTATGATGATGACACAGGTGTGGGGCCAGGGATGGGGGCTGCAGGGACCAGACATCCAGATAGAAAATGCTAACTTCTTTCACAGAATGAAAACCTGCAACAAGACAGACCGTGCCCATCACTATTGCTAGTGCTTCACGTTGCGTTGTTGTTAGGTAGGGTCAAGTCAGTTCCCACTCATAGTGACCCTATAGAGGGTTTCCAAGGCTATAAATCTTTACAGGAGCAGAAAGCCTCATCTTTCTTCTGAGGAGCTGCTGGTAGGTTTGAACTTCCAACCTTAGGGTTAGCAGTCCAGTGCTTATCCTACAGCACCACCAACACTCTCATCACATTGTTTTAGGGCAGGGTTTTTCAACTTCAGCACTATGACATTTTGGAATATTCAATGGTAGAATTCTTCACTTCCATATTGGAGACCCGGGTTCAATTCCTACTAATGTACCTTACATACAGCTACCACCTATATGTCAGTGGAGGCTGGCATGTAGCTATGATGCTGACCCAGTTCTTGTGGAGCATCCAAACTAACACTGGGAAGAAAGTCCTGGTGATCCACTTCCTAAAATCAGACAGTGACAACTCTGTGGACTAAAACGAGCAAGGGCTGATTTAAAGGCAGCTAACCTTTAAATCAATTGTCCGGAGGAAACAATTGTTGGAGAAGGATGTCATGCTGGGTAAGGTGAAGGGTCAGAGAAAAAGAGAAAGACCCCTAACGAGATGGATTGGCCAGGTGGCATCATTGATGGCGTCAAGTGTGGCAGCGGTAGTGAGGTTGGCCCAGGATCGGACATTGTTTCGTTCTGCTGTGTGTGGGGTTTCTATGAGTCGATTCTGACTCGATGGCACCTGACAACAACAACAACTACCACAACAGTCCTTTGCTGTGGGGACTATTTAGTGCACTGTAGGATATGTAGCCACATTCCTGGCATCTACATGCCTCTCAGTCATGTCAGAAATGTCTCCAATACTTCCAAAAGTCCCCCGGAAGCAGGATGAGAACTGCTGTCTTAGACTAAAATGTTAAATTAGCAACTCAGGTTATTACCCTTGTGTCATAGGGAAGGATTTATTAGAACCTCAAAGGCATTTGCCAAGAACCCATTCTGTAGAAGATTTTGACCAGGTACCTGATCACTGGAAAACAGTACCATTCTTCCTATTTCCTTCACCAGAGGAAGCACCAGATTCACTGTTTTAATGATTGTTGTTGTTGTTGTTGTTAGGTGCCTTCGAGTTGGCACCGACTCATAGCACAGCAGAATGAAACACTGCCTGATCCTGGGCCAACCTCACTACTGTTGCCACACTTGAGTCCATCGATGCTGCCACCTAGCCAATCCATCTCATTGGAGGGTCTTCCTCTTTTTCTCTGACCCTCCACCTTACCAAGCATAATATCCTTCTCTAG